TTATATATATATATATATATATATATATATATATATATATATATGTGTGTGTGTGTGTGTGTGTGTGTGTCAGCTATTTTTTCTGGGACGATAAATTAAGTTAATTCTCTTTTTATTTTCCGAAACTTTCCTTTTGGAAAGTAAAAAAGAAAAATGAACAAATTTATCTGTTAAAATCAAATTTTATAACAAAAAGCAGTATGAAAACTGAACTAGAAGTTGAGGTATGTAGGGCATGGTGTTCATTGGGTGTATAATTGAGCCCCATTATAAGCTTACTCTTGTAGAACTAATCTTCCTTAAAATATGCTTTACTTCAATTATTCATTTTCAAGACTGGCCAATAAAAAATTGCAACTTTAGTCATCCATTTGACAGATTTTTCTACCCTAAAGTATCTTTCTTTGTCCACCCTATCTTTCCAAAAAACTTGCTAAGTCAACTATGAAGTCCATGTTTTAGGCTAACCCCCCTACCCCCCCCCCCCAATCCTTAACAGGGTGGGGGTGGATTTTCTTTTTTGGTGGGGTACATTTCGTGCATGCAACTATATATATGAGGCTGATTTTAACACTTATATCACTCTAACAACTAGCTATACCTTATGAATTGATCATCCACTCTCATCATCATATTCTGTTCTGTGAGATTAGAAAATCACCATTAATACCTTTTGGTTTTCCAGACCTTACATTAAATATGGTGTTTGCCAAAAGTGGTGTCAGGGGTGGTGGCAGTGGTCTAGCTAACATGACAAACCTACCTGTACGAGTCCTCATGAGCCGGTGGTTCATGGTGTTCGCAACCATGTTAATTCTGTCAGCCGCCGGTGCCACCTACATGTTTGGTCTTTATTCCGGTGACATAAAATCTGCCCTCGGATACGATCAAACCACCCTTAATCTTCTTAGTTTCTTCAAAGATTTAGGATCCAACGTTGGTGTTTTATCAGGTTTAATTAATGAAATTTCACCACCTTGGGTTGTCCTTTCAATTGGAGCTGTTCTCAATTTTTTTGGTTATTTCATGATATGGATGGCCGTGACCAAAAAAATGTCCACACCTAAAGTTTGGTTAATGTGTTTGTATATTTGTATTGGTGCAAATTCACAATCTTTTGCCAATACTGGAGCTCTTGTTACATGTGTCAAGAATTTTCCAGAGAGTCGTGGTGCTGTTCTTGGACTTCTCAAAGGTTTTGTTGGTTTAAGTGGTGCAATTTTGACTCAAATTTACCAAGCAATTTATGGTAATGATTCTAAGTCTCTAATTTTGCTTATTGGTTGGCTTCCTGCTGTTATTTCCTTTGTTTTTCTACGTACAATTCGGATCATTGAAGTTGTTAGGATTGCACATGAGCTCAAAGTGTTCTATAGATTTTTGTATATGTCCCTTGGCCTAGCTGGATATCTTATGGTGATTATCATACTTCAGAAGAAATTAGATTTTACGCGAGCTGAATTTGGTTTGAGTGCAGCCTTTGTAGTTTTCTTGTTGTTCTTACCGCTTGGTATAGTGATAAAAGAAGAAATTATTTCGTGGAAGGCCAAGAAACTAGCTTTGGATAGTATTTCCGAGGTGAAAGTGATAACTGAGAAGCCGAAAAGTGAGTCTTCGGCTCCTGAGTTACCACGATCGTCAGCTGTTATCGCTGCTGTTGACTTAAAGGATCCTGAAGTTTCGTGTTGGAAAACAGTTTTTCAACCACCAAATCGAGGCGAAGACTATACTATACTTCAAGCACTATTTAGTCTTGACATGTTAATCCTTTTTCTTGCTACAATTTGTGGAATTGGAGGGACTTTAACTGCAATAGACAACTTGGGACAAATTGGATCTTCACTTGGCTACCCAAAAAAAAGCATTAGCACATTTGTTTCCCTAGTGAGTATATGGAATTATTTAGGAAGAGTGGTGGCTGGTTTCCTATCTGAATATTTCTTGAAAAAATACAAATTTCCAAGACCTTTAGCCCTAACCATAACCCTAATAATTTCTTGCATTGGCCATATTTTAATTGCATTTAATGTCCCTGGTGGACTTTATATTGCGTCAATAATTATTGGTTTTTGCTTTGGAGCTCAATGGCCATTACTTTTTGCAATAATTTCTGAACTTTTTGGACTGAAATACTACTCAACTTTGTATAATTTTGGGTCAGTAGCAAGTCCAATTGGTTCATATTTGCTTAATGTAAGAGTGGCCGGTCATTTATATGATAAAGAAGCAGAAAAACAATTGAAGGCACTGGGAAGGACGAGACGACAAGGGGAGGACTTGAATTGTGATGGAGTTGAGTGTTTTAAATTGGCATTTATTATTATTACAGCAGTTACTATTTTTGGAGCTTTTGTTTCTATTATTTTGGTGATTAGGACAAGGAAATTTTATAAGAGTGATATTTATAAGAAATTTAGAGAACAAGCTAAGGCTGCTGAGATGGAAATGGCATTGGGACAAAATGGAGGTGTTGTTGTTCAAAGTAATACAACTAGTAAGGGATAAATTGGAATGGAGAAAAGTCAAAGAGAAAAAGAAATATTAGATAGATTTGTTATTATTTGAAATATACTACATGGTATAATATTTATACCATATAACTTTGTAAGTGTGATGGATAAATTTAATGGTCATGAAATATAGTTTTGATGTTTTCTCTTACATGTATTTTCTTTTGTTTTTTCTTTAAAAGTATTTTATTGTGCTAATGGATCGCTATCCGCTATAAATGTTTATGGAGTTTTCGTTCTATGTCGAAAATTGTTTCAAATAATATGAGCGTTTATATTTTTCAATTGATCAGGTTTTAGTTGAAATTTGATATTATTAGCAAGGAAAGAAAAGGAATAAGAGAGATTTTCATAATCATAATTATATGAAACTATCTTAAGAGAAAAAATCAAGTAACGCCGAATTTTGAATATCTTAAGTGAAAAGAACAAAATAAGGGTATGAAACTTAAAATGAAGTCTTCAGGAAATTTTGTCGTTAAAGGAGAACTTGTTTTTCCATAATAATTGAGGTAAACTTTGACTTTTTGAAACTTTTGCGGGCAGTTGCTTTGTTTGACTTAAAGTGGGGTCCAACACTCTAAAACTATCTTAGCTTGTAGGTAATACCTTTTAACACTTAACTAAAAGTTATGGGTTCGAGTACTAAGTACCGAATTTTTTTTTGAAAGAGTCTTAGGGCATCAATTCGGACACCAAATACAGAGTGAGAAACTCGGAAAAAAAAAAAAGTAGTCATGTTGTGCTCTCCAAATTCCAAATTCCAACTTGCAATTTACTTATTATTAGAGGTTTTTAAGCAATTTCTTTGATTTGTTAATAGAGATTCCGTTTGAATATAGGATGATACAGTTGTAACAATTTAATAAAAAATTGGTGAGAATCCAACAATAATGGAGATCAAATCTTCCCCACATGATATATTGATTTTTAGAGAGGGACATGGATATGAAAAGCAGAAATGAGATATAGTATCTTCTTTACTTGTCAGAGATCGATCCCAATTTGTTTGGACTTAGAGACATAGTATTATTTATTGTTGTTATATAATTTGTGAAAACATGGTTGATAAATTTACTTTTGGCCTACTAGTTTATTTTGAAAAGGATGAAAGAGATTTGTATACGGTAAAAATCATATGCCTTTGATCTATAGGCTCGAGGGATCGTCCTAAGACCGAGTTCATGCAAGGTCGAGTTCGAGCCCGATGGACCAGACTCGAGCTCGAAGATAGGATGTGTGATGACCCGAAAGGTCATCTTCTGTTTTAGAATTCGATTCCGTGTTCCGAGGCCTTGAAAACCTTATTTTATCTCTCCTTGATTTGCGTGCGCAGTCCGGGCGTGTATCCAGAAAGCCCTTATGTGAATTTTTTTTTAAGAAATGATGATTTTGGCCTAAAAAGTTAATTTTTGTTGACTTCGGTCAACGTTTTGGGTAAACGGATCCGGACCCATATTCCGACGGTCCCGGAGGGTCCGTAGTATAATATGAGACCTGGGCGTATGCCCGGAATCGAATTTCGAGGTCCCTAACCCGAGAAATAAATTTTTGAAGGAAATTGATAAGACTGAAAATGTAATAATTTTAAAAGATTTGATCTTGTTGGTATCGGGCCCATATTTTGGTTCCGGAGCCCGGTACAGGTCCATTATGATATTTAAACCTTATCTGTGAAATTTGGTGAAATACGAAATTGATTTGACGTGATTCGGACCTTTGGTCGAGAGAATAGAAGTTTTGAAACTAACTTGAAAATTTCATGCAATTTGGTGCTAAATTCATAGTTCTAGGTATTATTTTGGCGATTTGATCGCATGAGCAAGTTCGTATGATGTATTAAGACTTGTGTGCATGTTTGGTTTGGAGCCCCAAGGGCTCGGGTGAGTTTGGATAGGCTACTAAGTGATTTTGGAACTTAGAAATTTGCTGGTGTAACTGGTGTCTGTAGCAGGCCTCTGATCTCGCAATTGCGAGATCAGGCTTCGCAAATGCGAACCAAGCAGGCATGGCAATTGCGAGGTATTTATCGCAATTGCGAAGAAAGGCTGGGCCAGTATAGTTCGCAAATGCGAACAAATCTTCGCAATTGCGAAGGGAGTCTGGGAAGGGGTATGATCGCAAATGTGATCTTCTACTCGCATTTGCGAGGAATAGTGTTCGCAAATGCGACACTTTCTTCGCATTTGCGAAGGTAGCAGGACTGTGAAGGGCTTCGCATTTGCGATGGCTCCTTAGCATTTGCGAAGCTCAGGCCGCAATTGCGACATCTGCAGCTGAGTAAAAGGGTCTTAGACGGGATTTTTCATTCATTTTCCCATTTTTCAAAATTCAAACTTCAAGAGGCGATTTTCCTAGGGCAAGTTCATCCCCAAATCATAGGTAAATGATTCTTAACTCATTTCTTTCAATCTATTTCATCTTTTTACAAAATTTCATCTTAGAATCTAGGGTTTTTCATGGTGGAATTGGTTTTTTTTGGGTAGAACTTAGGAATTTCGAAATTTAGGGATTTAGACTTGTGACGACCCAACCCGTCGTCACGTGTGTTACCGCCCCGTTTTCCCCATTTTCTATTTCTTTATGCTTCATTATCCGTGTTTGGTGTGAATGAATTGATTTGGATTGGTTCTAGAGGGAAATGAGACACTTAGTCTCTTTAAGGAAGGTTTGTTTTGGAAAAGTCAACCGGACGTTGACTTATGTGTTAGAGGGTTCGGATATGAATTTCGATGATTCGGTTAGCTTCGGGGGATGATTTGTGACTTAAGAGTGTGATCGGAATTGATTTTGGAGGTCCGGTGTAGAATTAGGCTTGAATTGGCGAAGTTAGTATTTGGCGAATTCCGGTTGATAGGTGAGAATTTGATCTGAGGGTCGGAATGGAATTTCGAGAGTTGCAGTAGCTTCGTTAGGTGATTTAGGATGTGTGCAAAATTTCAGTTGATTCGGAGGTGTTTTGGTAGGGTTTTTGATCGAAGGCAAGTTTCGGAAGATTTGGATGAACTTAGGCTTGAATTTGATGTAATTTGAAGGTTTAGGTGTTATTTGTGGTGTTTTGATAATTCAAGTAGGTTTGAATAAGGTGTTGGATTATGTTTGTGTTTTTGGTTGAGGTCCCGAGGGCCTCGGGATGATTTCGGATGGCTATCAGGGAGTTTTGAGCCTTGGTGAATTGCAGGTTTCTGCTGGTATCTGGTATTTTCGCGCATGCGGTTATGGGACCGCAGGTGCGGTTTCGCAGAAGCGGAGGAGGAAGCCGCAGAAGCGGTTTTGGGTCTTGAGGCAGTTTTCACAGAAGCAGAAGGGTGGACCGCAGGAGCGGTTCCGCTGGTGCGGAATTTGGAGCCGCAGAAGCGGCCGGGTGCTTTAAGTGGAAGTCCGCAGAAGCGGATGGATCGACCGCAGAAGCGGTCCCGCATAAGCGGAAATGGGACCGCAGAAGCGAGAAAGACTGGACAAAATATTTAATTGGTCTTCTTCGCAAATTTTGAAGGAGTTAACATATTTCACTTCGGACTTGGAGAATTTTTGGGCGATTTTGAAGAGGGTTTCAAGGGGATTCGATAAGGTAAGGATTCTTGAACTTAAACCACGATTTTATGGTGCAAATACGTGAATTTAGATTGAAAAATTAAGGAATCAAGGGTTAAGAATGGAGGTTAGGGTTTGAAACTTAAGAGAGTTAAAATGGGAATTTGAGGGGTCATTTGGACTCCGATTTTGGTGTTCTTTATATGTATAGACTCGTGGCGAGACAAGGAATCCGTTGATGGTAATTTTTTGATTTTTGAGAAGTGGGCCCGGGGCTCGGGTTTTTGCTAATTTCGAGATTTTAGCTATTTTTCGATTGTTTTCGATTGGGTATTGTCCCATTAGCATATTGTGATGTATTCGTTGTGGTTTTGATCAGATTCGGTACACGAGGAGGTCAATTCGAAAGGCAAGGGATAGCGAGCTAGGACTTTGGCCGGCTTGAGGTGAGTAATAGATGTAAATGCTGTTCTGAGGGTTTGAAACCCCGAATTGGCACATTGTAGTGCTATGTTGAGGTGACTTGCACGCCGGATAACGGGCGTGGGTTAGAGCACCGTCGGGGATCGTGACTTGATCCGTCCCGCTTAATAAAAATTATTACCTAATTGATTGAAGCTTAGTAGATATCCTTATAAAAATGGATTAATTATCATAATTGGGCTTCGTGCCAACTGCTTGAATCCTTCAGGGATTGTTTTTATTGGTTTCTTACCATCTTTTTTTACATATCATCGATCTCAGTCCTGGTAGTTAATACTGTTTTGCAAACTCAGCCACTTTTTCTCAAACTAGAAACTTAATTAATATTTTTAAATGAAGTTTGGGCTAAATATTTCTATATTAATGTGCCCGAGAGGCTTATGTGATTTTGGACTGAGCATGGGATCGGGCTGCACGCTGCAGCGGTATGATACTGATATTGATATGAGGTCGAGGGCCTAGTTGATGCCACGAGATGGCTTATTATTGTGCTTGGGCCGTAAGGGGCCCCTCCCGGAGTCTGCACACCCCAGTGGGCGCCGTCAACGATAAACAAATGGAGCGGGCTGCACGCCGCAGCGGGTACTGGAGAGTACCGGTCTATGTGTTGCATTGCATACTATTAATTGTCATTTATTTACTTATCTGCTGTGATATTTCTATAATTGTTTTCGCTGTTTTACTGGATTTTATGCTGCTAGGTTCAAGTTGCTGTATTTATAGAATTACTTTATGCTTATTTAGGATTTCTTATTCTCAGTCTTTATTTATGTTTATTACTCACTGAGTTGGAAGTACTCACTTTACTCCCTGCACCTCGTGTGCAGATTCAGGTGCACCCACTGAGGCTGAGTGAGACTTTCTCTATCGAGCATCATATCCGGGAGCATCAAGGTAGCTGCATGACGTCCGCGGTCCTGATCTTCCCATTTATCCTATTTATTTTATTCCGCATTCCTTCAGACTATTATGTAGTAGGTTGACACTCATATATTAGAGGCTCAGACTTGTGACACCGGATTCTTCGGGTTGTGTAGTAGTATTTTTACTTGGGTTTTCCGCATGTTTGAACTTTATTTCAGATATTCAGTACTATGACTTATTAGTTTAACTGTGTTAAATAAATTCA